TAGTATTGGAAAGACCATAAATACCGGAAGTAAAAGTGTTTTTTTATGATTGAGATCCGGCTGAGAGTCGACCCGATGAGCAATTCAAAGACCATACCATCCTTTTCAGGGTTAATACCACGAAAAACCCCAAACTGGTACACCTGTGACAATTTTACCCCGGACTAATTTTTTTTCACCAAAAACCCTAAACTGGTACACCTGTGACAAATTTATCCCGAACTATTTTTTTTATCACCAAAAACCCCACACTGGTACAGATGTGACAATTTTACTCAGAACTAATTTTTTGACCACCAAAAACCCCAAATTGGTACACTTGTGATAATTTTATCCCGAACTAATTTTTTTGACAACTTAAAATCCCAAACTGGTACATTTGTGACAAATTTACTCTCCGTTAGTATCCGTTAAATTGGATTAATATCACAAAAAATCACAAATTGGTAAACTTGTGACAAACAGAGGGGTAAAACCCAAAACTGGCACAATTGTCAACTATCACGTGTCATCAAACTTAGCAATTTGATAGTAAAATTTAACGGAAACTAACGAAGGGTAAATTTGTCACAGATGTACCAGTTTGGGGTTTTGGGTGGTCAAAAAATTAATTTGGGGTAAAATTATCACAAGTGTACCAATTTGAAATTTTTGATAGTTAAAAAATTAATTCAGGGTAAAATTGTCACAGGTGTACCAGTTTGGGGTTTTTTTGTGATCAAAGAAATAGTTTAGGGTAAATTTGTCATAAGTGTACCGGTTTAAAATTTTTCGTGGTATTAACCCTTCTTTTTAATGACTAGATTTTAAAAGTAATCAAGAAAGTTTGACAGATGACGGTTTTTTATATTGGAGGGGTACTCAAGATGGACGGATAAAGCAGCTTAATTTCCTAGAATTATTCGATGGCTGATTGAAACTTAATTCAACCTACTTAATTGATCTTAGGGATATTGACACAAATAGTTCATAAACTTTGGTTCAATATGCAATTTGGACCATAAAATTTTAATTTGTTCAATATAGCCTATGAATTTTTGGTACATGTTCAATGTAGTTCCTAAACCATATAAAAATGTTCAATGCAGTCCCTACACTTGAAATAATGGAAGGATTACTTTGAACGTTTTTATATAGTTCGGGGGCTAAATTGAATATGTACCAAATTTTATGGATGACATTGAACAAATTAAAAGTTCAAAGACCACATTGCACATTAAGTTAAAGTTTAGAGATCACATTAAATGAATTAAAAGTTCATGGACTAAATTACATATTAAATCAAAATTCATGAATTGTTTGTGTCATTTTTCCTTAATGTTAAGGAGTTCCATTTGTTGACAAATTCTCGACAAAGGATTCCTAAAGCATTTTTGTTTTGGTCGGAAGGATTCCTAAAACATTAAACAAAAAGAATATCTATCTGATAGCGACTTGGCTAAAGCTCGATAACCTCGTGATCAACCCCATCCCTAGAAAATTTGGGGCGGCTCTAATGATTAGACAGAAAAGCAATAATTTTTCGTTGCTATTAGCGTCACTAGGCCCAGCAGCATTCTTTTGCCACCCTGCACAGGATGATATCCTAGGATGGTTTTCAGGACATACAAAATTCGATCCAGGGAAACCAGCTTGGATGTGAATGTCTTTGTTCATGACAAATGCATCATGTAATCTAGACAAAAAAAATCACAAAAAAACTGTAAACTATACTTATTGTAACACATTTATCCTCAAAAAATTTTGTGACGTGAAAAATTCCTAACTATGCCCATTAGAACACATTTACCCTAAATTTTTCTTTTGCAACATAAAAAACTCCAAACCTGTACATATGTGACACACTTACCTTCCGTTAAGGTTTGTTAGATGATTTTTCAACCAAAATGTCATTTTTTTTTCACTTAAGCTATGTGGGTGCCATCATGTCAACATTGTTTGCTTTCTGGCATCTATGTAGACAGATTTTTAACGGTTCTCATTGACAGAATTTTGACGGAGGGTAAATATGTCTCGCAGGTACAAGTTTGGGATTTTTTATGTCACAGAATAAAATTTAAGATAAATGTGTCACACTGAGCATAATTTGGAGTTTTAGTAGCTTTTGCCCTGTAATCTAATATATAATAGCCTTTAATGTGCTTTTGGAAGAAAGCAATGATACTAATTTTACGAAGAGTTCGTTTCATTTAATTACTACATGAAGTAGGTCAAGATCATGAATGCACAAATTAGTAAAAATGGTTGTATTTCTAGTTGAGGTGGTAAATTAAGCATTGAAAGGTCCGTGCTAGTTTGCGAGATACTTTTTGCTTTGGATTACATGCACAAGTAGACAAATGCTTACTAATAATCTCTTTCATCTTGAGTTTCGGCTATATTGACCAAGACATCACCTTTTCATAACACTACTGGCGCGGCGAATCACCAAGCAATTGATTTGCATTCTGACTCCGATCTCTCAATCTTCTATGAATGGAGAAAATATTCGGTACTTCAGTGATACCAGGTCAGCAAAATATTAGTCCACTTAACCTGCGACACGTGGTGATTTCGGGCCCACATGTCAGATTTCTCTCCCCCTTTGTCTCTCTCCTCTCTCCCCTGCTTCTTCACGACTCCCGCTAAAATTTTGCTCTTTTTCATTTCTTCACTGGTTTCGGCTCCTTCTCAGGGAATTGAAATGGGAAATTGAAACCAAAGTTGGGGAAGAAAGGGAAGGCATTCTTCTGGTCTTTGGGAGTTTCACTACTTTCCAAAATCCCATTTTTATCAGCCACGTGTGTCCCAGAGATAAAGAGGAGAAATTTGTTGGATTTGGGTGCGTTGCAGAGGCTGAGAAAACAAACAGAGTTCTGGGTTTTGAAGAGGGTTTTTGTTGGGTGTTCTTGAAGGAACTCCTACTGCACAAAAGAGCTCCCAACGACGGCGGTTGCGACGGCGACGACTTCGCGGACTCCGCCTCGTCCGCCGCTCCCCTGGGTTCAAGAACCTGCCCAAGCCCCCCCCCCCCCCTCTTCATCACCCGCAACCCTGAGCCCTCCCACAGCTCCTGCATCCTCGAGGTCCCTTGCGGATCCGATGTCGTCCCCTCCCTCCGCAGCTTCTGGATCTGGCTAGCCCTTGCTCAGGCAGCGAGGGTCGGTCCCTCGCCGAAGGCCGCGAGGGCGACCCTCGCCCCCGCAAAAATTTTAACGGAGTCGTGAAGAAGCAGGGGAGAGAGGAGAGAGACAAAGGGGGAGAGAAATCTGACATGTGGGCCCAAAATAGCCACGTGTCTCACGTTAAGTAGACTAATATTTTGCTGACCTGGTATTACTGAGGTACCTAATATTTTCACCTATGAATGTGGCTTAAGGGTTATCAAGACACCCTTTTTGTCAATTCTGATAGACAATTCCATGCTGAGTGCAACATTTATGGCACTGTTGACTTCATCTTTGGAAATGCTATTGTCATTATCTAGAACTGCAACATCTATACCGTAGACCCCCCTACAAAGTCAATATCCTCACTACATAGGGTCGGACTAACCCTAACGACTCCATCCACAACTACATAGTCATAGTAGCTTTAGACTTGGTATCGGTTCAAAACTTCACGAGGATGTAGCTCAAGAGGCCTTGACAAGAATATTCAAGAATTGTTTGCAAGAACACTTACCTTGATAGCCTAATTGACATGGCAGGCTAGTTGGATCGGGATGGTGACTTTGCCCTTAAGACTATATTATGGAGAGTATGTGAACATGGGCCTCGGGTCATCAATTGCAAATAGGGTCGCATGGGCAGGTTATCATGTCATCACAAGCGCGACGAAGGCTTCAAGATTCACCGTCGGGAATTTCATTGTTGGCAGCTCTTGGTTGCCTGCCATTGGCGTATCCTACACCTCTTGGGTTGTACCTTGCATCTCTGGGGTTACAAAATCTTTATCAAATTTATTGAGTGTTATAGTGGGCATTCTCTAGTCCAATTCTTCTTCTTTTTTTGGGAAATCTAGTCCAGGTTTTTTTGTCATCTTATTCTAACTCTCTCTCATCGTGCTTTATTGTAGGGATGATCGGTTCCAAGGTGAGCCGATTTTCATCCTGGAACTGGGAACCGGAATAAAAGGGCCGATTTTGGTCTGGTCCACCAGTTCTTGGACCTACCCTATTCCCAGGTGGGTCTAAGAACCGACTTTGATAAATTTTTTTTTACATAAATGATGTGAAAATAACATCTCAAATAAAGTTACTTATGATGTTTTCATTATTCTATTTGCTTTGCTGGCATAGAAATGTGTATTGTGTGTGAAATTACAATTACATCACAACGCGCATGTTAATATGCTTCAAAAAATATATATTAGAATAGATTTGTGTAGATAAGTATGCGAGGACTTTATAAATTGTCATGTCTCTCCATAGATTAAAAAATCTAGTATTAATCGCTTTACTTGATAAATACTAATTTATATATATGCCAAAACATTACATTCTTATTTGTATGTGTGTACATCGGTCCGGTCCGGATGATTTGGGTGGGTGGGTCCACACTTGGAACCGAGAATCGGACCAATATTCACCGATTCTAATTTTTAGAAATAAAGAGTCGGACCTGTTTCTGTTGGATCTACCCAGAACCGGCCGATTTGGTCTAGTCCATATGATTATCGGTTCGATCTGGCTCTTTTGCTCACCCTGCTTTATTTATTATGTCTGTAAGTTTGGTTCAAGGGACTAATTTCCCCTAACGTGCACGTCCCCAGCCCCTCCTCCTGCCAACTGGACTAGGGGTGAGCGGTTCCAGGTTTTGGGTAGGTTCCGCCTGGAACCTGGAACCTACCCTCGGGTACAGGTTCCTCAAAATGAGGAACCTGAAACCTACCCGTCGGAACGTGGAACCTGGAACCTACCCTGTCACAGGTTCTAGGTTCCAATAGGTTCTTTTTTTTAATTTCGTTTTGAATTAAACAAAACAAAAATAAACGCAATAGTAGATCATCTGAATGATACATACACAATGCCCTGATGTGATATTCAGGGGATATAATGCCAAGTTTACAAATGCTTGGATAGAACTAAACTATAATTGCCCAATACCAATTGAAGGGGAAAGATAGGGTAACTACCTTACTGTCGGAAAATCCTCCAACACCAGCATCAGCATTCCCAAGCCCGTTATCTCTGGCAACTCTTAAAGAATCAGTTGGTGAGTCACGGACAGTATTAGAGCTTGAACTCTGTTTCGATCTTCCTGCATCCTGGGCCTTCTCAACAGAAAAATTTTAAGTAAGAAATCATGAAGATGGCTGAACCACTTAACTACAGTAATAGCATAAGCTACCTGGCAAAAAGCTGTGACTAGTTCCTGTCTCAAAATACAAAATCGAGATCCAAGTCCAGTATAGTTTGCAACACGAGGAGTTACTCTCATCAAGTCAAGAAGATAGTGCCTAAATCAAAACAAAAGAGTAAAATGGAAAGAGGACCTTATGAGACATACTATAAATAAAGTGCAGATGAAATGAGAAGAAATTTTCAATTGTCTTGTCTCAGTTCTCCCAACTATAGTATTTTATGCCATGTAAAAACATGTTTGACAAATGGGAATTTTAATAACCACACTTTAGCAAGATGCTGCAGCCAAACATAAATTTGAAGTTCCAATATTGGCATAAAAATGACAAGATGCATGCCCTACATAAGTTTAGATCCAATCTTTACATCACCATAGCCAAGCACTATGTAACTTTACAGTTGTAGTGGAATCATCCCCAAACACAAAAAAATGCGCACCTCAACTGTTCAACTCTTTCTCAGTTAGTGAAATCTTTTCTTTTTTCTATCATCATAGAATTAATTAATCTACCCATTAGAATTTATCTCTCCAGCAGATAGTGCACACTATACTGTTAAGCTATTTGGCATACCCTGAGAATAATGTGAAAGGGGCCTTAAGAACTAGTGCAAGCCAAAAGGAAAAAAATAAGCAACAATTATTGAGGAGGAAAGTAGCAAGATAATGAAAATATCCAAAATGGCATGAACAATGAAAGCACATTGTTCGAACAAATTATGAGTAGAAGGTGATGTTAGACTTAAAATGATCACATATCAACCAGCAAACAAAAAAGAGGTAAGATAAGCTGTCCCAAGAGGATAACCTGTCATTGCTACCCACAATACCCTTGCATTCCACTGGTGCAGCTAATTTGAAAATGTTTCCAGAATCATCACATACAGCATGTTCCTTCAAATGAAGACGTTTTGCTGACTCCAACACCTAAAGACAAGAATACCAGGTCATATAAAGGAGAATTAAAGAAAGCTAGATTAAGGAATGTCTTTGGTTCCCAATGAAAGACTAGATTCGGGTACTTCTCTAGAATCCCTGTGTTTTTAAGCCTCATCACTGTATCTATAGCTATTTTGACTCAGTACATGACTAAACAATACTAATAGGAGAATGACATCCATGCTTCAGATAACAGGAAAAATCATTGAGATAGTTGACTAAACCAATTGAAGTAAGAAAACATGCAAAAGGATTTCATACAAGCAAGAGACATAAAGTTTACACCAAGGAAGCATTTTTCATCTACAAATAGGCATGTGACATGGAATGTGCTTTTCCTTTTCATAGTTGAAAGCAACGTATTTGATTAAGGAAAACAAGCCACCAAGAGTACCTCAGCAGTATGATCTTTCAATACATGCCGACAGTTATAGCTCCCATCTTGGAACCTTGCCACACCCGCACGGTCTGCGGATCAAACATGTAATCATCTAGAGAAAGTACGACAAAAATTACAGTAGTAACTACTTAAACAAAATATTGCAATCATTATGGTTCGAATGAAGAGCACAACGTTTATGGAGCAAACGACATGCAAAATGGAAGAAATTCACCACAACTATTTATTTTCTTCTCTTTTCCCCTTCCTTTTCATAAGGGGGACTAGAGTAAAGAAATGCGGAGTTCTATATGCGAAGATTCACATGTTCGGCGGTGAGTACATCGGATGAATAGTAAACGCCACTAAAAGTCATTGTTGCACTAGGGACCAAAGAAAAAGATACTTCAAGAAAAGAGTTAGAATAAATCCAGCTGCCGAGACATTTTTAACATCTTGTGACACCCTTCATGAGGGAAAACATACATTACGCCTGTAGGTTGACAAATCCGATAGCGGGATGCGGTCCGTTCAATAGGTGCCCCTATCCCTCCCCAAAAACACTCTTGCAAAAACCCCAAATCAAAGAATCAAGAAATTTAAAAAACATAGAACATTTTCTTTCGATTTTCGTTTTCATTTCAACTAGCTGCCTATTTTAACATCACAACAAATTGACCTTTTCAAGCGATCGGCACCGGCTCATTTATGGACTTCATATCATCAACCTTGCCGGAGAGGATACCGCCCGGTCCTGGCGAGAAACAATCGATGTTTCACGCTTTTGATCCACCCTTGCAAGCACACGAGAGGAGTTTTTCCTTTTTAGGGTATGAATGAAATAGTTAGGCCTGAGACTTTGGCCAAGTCAGCAACCGCTCAATAGCTTTTCCCAACTTTGATCGGGTTTAGTATTGCAGCATCAAGAACACAAACGCGAAGAGCAATGACCCACAGACGGAAAGTCAAAGGATGACTTGACTTCCATTTCTCAAACGCTTCGTCCAACTCCTTGTCTGCCCCACTCGCCGCGGACGCCAGCCCGGACCGCGGTTGATGAAGAAAGCGGAGGAAGAGCCGAGGTGGACGCCGAGCAGAGCAAGGAGAGGCGAGAGGGTCTCGTTGAGTCGCGGGCGTGGGGAGTGGGAGAGAGAGCGCAATGGAGGAGCTACCAGGCGAGAGGAAATTTGGAAAGAAACTAAGAAAGTTAGGGTTTTTACTTTTTAGTAGGAGAGAGAGTGCCGGTTAGAACTTTTTGGATAATTTTCCAAAAATAAACGTGGAAACTTACAGATGAGGACAAACTGATCTGCAATGCCACTCAGTGAAGTTCATTTATTCCCATGATGAATAAACAAAGAGTTTCTGGTTGAATTTATAATGGCCAAACTGACTTCGAGATCCCACCTTCTTTTGATCGGTCGTGCAAACATGGGGAGTGTTCCTGGAGTCCGAAAGCGGCCTGTGAAGCCCACGAGCCGGACCGCAGTTCGGTTCCGTTCTACTACTGGAACCGTGCTCACCACTAAAGCCGGATCTGCGTGCCCGGAGGCAATAAATTCTAGTTTTTTCAACAGAGTCTAGTCTAGTTCAATAGGTGCTTTTTCCCTCTTTTGTTGTAAGGAAGTAATTTTATTGCTTAATCAAAAAACATCTCAGATTGTTTAAAAACTCCCAAATCAAAGAATCAAGAAATTTAAAAAACCATAGAAATCATTTTCTTTCGATTTTCGGCATCTGTTTTCATTTCAACTAGCTGCCTATCTTAACATCACGAACAAATCGACCTTTTCAAGCGATCGGCATTCCCGGCTCATTTATGGATCTTCATATCATCAAACTTTCTGAACATGATCAAGCGTTCCGCGCCTTACCACCCGGTAAGCCTGAAGCGACCGACAACAATCGATGTTTCACGCTTTTGTTCCTCAACTCCTTCCAAGCACTTGAAGCTGACAACCTAGTTTTCGATTTTTAGCGGGTACTGAATGTCACAATAGTTACGCTTGAGACTTTGGCCAAGTACAGCAAACCGTTTCTAATAGATTTTTCCCAACTTTAGATCGGATTTAGTATTGCAGCATCAAGAACACAAACGTGAAGAGCAACGACCCACAGCGGAACAGTCAAGGAGTATGACTTCGACTTCCATTTCTCAAACGCTTCGTCCAACTCCTTATCTTCCTCCTCTTCTTTTGCTACATCTTTCCTTCCACGCCCTTGTTCCTCGTCGCCAGCGCCATCTGCGCTCACATTTCCACGATCATGATGTCTGCGCCTGTTGGCCTTCTCGCAAAGCTCCCTTAAAGCAGCAACGCTCGTTGGACTGGAATCTCTCTCTCTCTCTCTCTCTCTACTTTTTCCCCGACGCAGTCTCTTTCCTTCTATTTTTTTCCGGGGAAAAGTGAAAATTTTTCCACGAAAGCAAGGAGGGGTTTTGCTTTTGCTGACGTTGTACTCAATGATAAAGCTTTCGTGCCAATTGCCGGGTTGAGATAAGAACGGACAATTAGAAATTTCTGGATCTGGGTGAGGGCCGGCTTGTCCTTTCAAGAAAAGAAAGGAAAGGAAAAAGGAAAGAATAAAAACAAATAAATAATTCAAAAAGGAGTTCAAGTCAGCGCCGGCCATATCATATAGGGCGGTCGGTATCTACGTCAGCGATATCCGGCCAAAATTGTCCGGACGCCTTCATTGGCAAAACGTGAGAAGATGTAGGATCCAATTGACACAATTAAAATGTTGAGGACTGACTCGGCAAAAATGCAATATGTGTAGAACTTTTTGGATAATTTTCCAAAAATAAACGTGGAAACTTACAGATGAGGACAAACTGATCTGCAATGCCACTCAGTGAAGTTCATTTATTCCCATGATGAATAAACAAAGAGTTTCTGGTTGAATTTATAATGGCCAAACTGACTTCGAGATCCCACCTTCTTTTGATCGGTCGTGCAAACACGGGGAGTGTTCCTGGAGTCCGAAAGCGGCCTGTGAAGCCCACGAGTCTTTGGAGTCAAAAGTCGGTTACCAACATATTTTGTCTTATGGAAAAGTCTTTAGAGTCAAAATTCGTTTGTCCAAATGCAAAGAGAATCAACCGGAAAGATGCACGAAAAGCACCCCATCTCTTTACTGGCTCGGACACATGCATCCACGTGGATCATTGGACTTTTCATCAAAAGGACTAACAACAGAAGCATAGGAACGCGTGCACGTGACATGTTCACACGCCGTTTCTGCTTATGGTCGTCTGGTAAAAAAATAATGTAACCCTAAACAATGTTGAAGTAAGTCCTCGAAATGTTTCGTCTAAACTTTGGCACGTTAAACTTCGGAAGTAATCTCTAGAGAGATGAAAGAAAAATTTCTCTCCAATTAGGGAGACTGGACGTGACGGTATCGATGTGTTAAACTAAGAAACGCAATCCTGACAGCCTGCTAAGTGTATATACCTAGACAGGCAGGGCCTACCCAGCCGGAAGTCTAGGTTGTCCCTGCTTTGGTAAGGTACTCTAGGTAATCACTATCAAGAATCCAAGGCAGGTCTCTGCTTTAGTTAGTAACAAAGGAGAGATGCGTGGAGGGCAGACTTTGAAGACCAGTAGCTAAGAGATTTAGGCACGAGCTATGAGGCCACTCAATCACACTCTCTGGAATGATATTCCAATGGGGGAAGTTCATTGCACACAACTGGACACTTTAGGTACATAGATTGACAAAGTAACATTTTAACCGGTTGTGACAACGACACGTTTCACAACTCTTTTTTCCAACCAATTGGTCATAATATAATATGATATCGAAACGCGGTTCCTGGAGGGTGGTGTAACTGCAAGCCTCTTGTCACTACTATGCCTTCACTTCTCCATAAAGGGACCAATCCAAGGCAGAATGAACCACCCCAATTGAACACCGCCAATCTCAAATTCTCTTCATTTAATTCCACTTGGCAATACGCACAATCCATCGACATGGATTTTCACCAAAAGTTCATGATCCTTCTCTTTTTGCCTCTTTTGCTATCTCAAACCATCTCTAGCTATTCCTCTAGAGATGTGAAATCATGGTGTAGCAAAATGCCTTACCCACAACCCTGTGAGTACTTCTTGACCCACAACCCTAAGGAAACCCCTCTCAAGCGAAAGTCCCATTTTCTCAAGGCCTCCATGCAAGTCGCCCACGAGAGAGGGCAGCTCGCCCGAACCCACATGTACTCGCTAGGCTCCAGGTGCCGCAATGAACGCGAGAAGGCTGCGTGGGCTGATTGCCTTCAGCTTTATGAGTACACGGTCCACCACTTGAACCGGACCATTGATCACTCGTGCACTCAGGACGACGTGCAGACTTGGCTTAGCACAGCCCTGACCAACCTCGAGACCTGTCGGGCTGGGTTCATTGAGCTCGGCATCTCAGACAACGTGTTGCCCTTGATGTCGAATAATGTTTCCAAGTTGATAAGCAACACTTTGGCCGCAAACTATGTGCCCTACGCTACCCCAAACTACACCAATGAGTTCCCTACTTGGGTGAGGCCTGGCGACCGGAAGCTCTTGCAATCTCTGCCCACGCTATCTACGGCCAATATCGTGGTGGCCCAAGACGATTCGGGGAACTACAAGACGATTAGCAAAGCTGTAACTGCGGCTTCAATGCGGTCGGATACAACAAGGTATATAATTTATATCAAAGCCGGTACGTATGAAGAGAATGTTGAAGTTGGATCAAAATTGGAGAACATTGCGTTTGTTGGCGATGGTATTGGAAAGACCATAATTACCGGATGCAGAAGTTTTGATGGAGGATTTACGACCTTCAATTCAGCAACTATTGGTGAGTTTATTATGTAATTTATTTATTACATAGTGCATTTTATACAGGATAAATACTGAAAAGGATAAAAAAAGGAGGATTATCAATAGTTAAGTAAAGTCTATTCGTGGGGCCACCAAGCTTATCTTAGTAACTCGATATGCCTTATAAGATCATAGATTTGAATACTCGCTTGACTTGGAGAAAACTGTTTAAAAAGTCATAAACCTTTTGCATTCTTGTCAATTCAGTACATCCGACTAATTTTGGCTTACCGGCGCTGACGTGGACGCCGGGCGTCCTGCCAACACTAATGTGGTGGGCAAGCTCGCCCTTGCCAGTAGCCACTGTGGGCGAGCTTCGCCAGAGGCTGGCGAGGTCAACCTCGTCGATTGTCGCCTCTAGGGAAGAAGGGCAGAAACAAAAAGAAAGAAAGAAAATAAATAAATAAAAATTTTGAATAAAATATTAAAATATTAAAATATTAAAAAATTTTGGCGCCCCCTTTAGCGCCAGCCAGCTAAAAGTGGCCGGATGGACTAAATTGACAAGAATTGAAAAGGTTTATGATTATATTGGCAAAAAAATAATATGTTTTGGACTTTTTGGACAATTTTCTGCTTGACTTGTGATGATGTTGGAATGTCGAAAATTGCTAAGATTTCTGCTATGTTCAACGTGCGATTTGATTCACAGAAATATTTTGAACGACCTAATGAAGCCAACAAGAATGTTTCAATTAGTTAAGCATGCTTCTATTTTCATGAAAATGAATATTCTTAAAAGTACAAACTGGAGAATTAAGGGAATTGCTCCATTTTTCAATGTTGTGGCCCACGTAAGAAGTCCCTACGAGCGAACCAACCTTCTTTATTTTCCCAGATCAAAACAAAAGAAATATTAAAGGACTTCTTGTTTGGTACACTAACCATGTGAAAGAAATTAAACATATACAATATTATTAATTTTTAACAAGTACATAAAATCCCACAATATCAGATTTTTAAAACTGTTCAAAGGCTACTTATTAATAAGTAGAAGAATGTATCAACAGTATCTTTATATAATTTCAATAGAAACAGTAAAAGCTTTATGCTCCACATATACATCTTGATTCATGTAGTGATTTAGTGATAATTTTTCAAAAGCAAACGCGCTCGTAAACACGAGATTTTGATGTATAAATAAAAATAAATTGAATCGGGGTTTTGACTGTTGTTAGTAATAAAGCCTATAGGAGAAGAATGATAAGCTCCGGGTCAAAGAATGATAAGCAATTATTTGGTTCTATGAGGTAGTAAATGAAGCATTTAGAGATCCGTGTTTAGTTTGTTGAGAGATACTTTCCGGTTTAGATTACATGTAATGGTAGATAGATGTACCCGTACTAATAATTCCTCATCTTGAGTTTCAGCTGTTGATGGTGACGGATTCATTGCTCAAGATATCACTTTCCGTAACACCGCCGGCGCAGAAAATCACCAAGCAGTTGCTCTACGTTCCAGTTCTGACCTCTCAGTCTTCTATCGATGTGGATTTGAGGGTTATCAAGACACCCTGTTTGTTCATTCTAAGCGACAGTTCTATAAAGAGTGCGATATTTATGGCACCACTGACTTCATCTTTGGAAATGCTGCCGTCGTTTTTCAGAATTGTAACATCTATGCCAGAAACCCTCCTAATAAGGTCAATACCATCACTGCACAGGGTCGGAGTGACCCAAATCAGAACACTGGCATCTCCATCCACAACTGCAAAGTCACTGCTGATTCAGACTTGATATTGGTTCAAAGTTCCGTGAAGACGTACCTCGGGAGGCCATGGCAAAAATATTCAAGAACTGTTTTCATGATGACTTACCTTGATAACCTAATTGACTTGGCCGGGTGGTTGGAGTGGGACGGTGACTTTGCCTTGAACACTCTGTACTATGGGGAGTATATGAACACGGGCCCCGGGTCATCGATTGCAAATAGAGTCACATGGGCAGGTTACCATGTCATCACAAGCACAACGGAGGCTTCAAAGTTCGCCGTCGGGAACTTGATCCCCGGCGGCACTTGGTTGCTCGCCACTGGCATGCCTTACACCTCTGCGGGTTACGACGTGCCTTACACCTTCGAGGGTTATGACGTGCTTTACAACTCGGGGGGTTACAAACTATTCATCGATTTTATTGGGGGTTACAATGGTTATACTCTAGTCCAATTCTCTTTTTTTTTATATTTATTTTTCTGTTTTTTTGAAATCTAGTCTAGTTCAATAGGTGTTATTTTTCCGCTTTTTCGCTATAAGGGAGTAATTTTTTCGCTTAATCAAATAACATTTCAATGGTTTAAACACTCCCAAATCAAAGAATAAATAAATTGCCAATAGGCATGCGGCTCTGCTGGTAAAGGGATTTGGAGGGGAACGATATTATCACAGGTGCGGGGTTCGACTCCCGCGCTCTATAAGAGGTAGAGTAAAAGTCAGAGAGCGAGGAGAGTTAGAAATAGGACAAACCGAAAAAACATAAAAAAATAAAAATAAACAAATTTGAAAGACCATTTTCTTATGATTTTTGGCATCTATTTTTATTTCAACTAGTAGCCTATCTTAACATCACGTACAAATCTGACTCCTTTCAAGTGATGGACGGATTATCAATTTTTCCGAACATGACGGGGCCTTCCGTGTTGTAGCACACGGTAAACTCGAAGTAGCTGACGACAATTGCTGTTTCATGCTTTTGTTCCTCAACTCCTTCCAAGCACATGAAACTGAAAAACTATTTCTCCATTTGTAGCAGATGCTCGAGATCAATAGTTAGGACTGATTGGTGTGTTAGCTTCACATTTCACCGACCCTGGGCTGGTACAGCAACCACTTCTAGTAGCTTCTTTCCGGCTTTAGGTCGAACTGGTATTGCAGCATCAAGAACACAACTCTTCTTAAGAATTCCCCGAGAGGCATCATCAAGACTAATCCATCCCGTGCGCTGATTGGAATCTAACTACAGGTGAGAGAACGTTCAACAGTCAAACTATCTAACAAATTCTGGGTTTGAATCGTTCTTAATTACGGTTCAATAGTCTGAGAATGCTTTCCGAAAACCAGCAGAAACCCCTGGATATTCGACATGGCGGAGTACCCGAGCTGAAAACAGCAAGTTCAAGAAAACTTTTTCCGCTTCAATAGCTCCCAATGCTGCCGTATATAGCTCTGTTTTTCCGAGTATTCTTCTTCGAATTAGATGTGGCATGAAATTGATTGAAGATGATCAAGCTAATACAGAATGAAGGAACAATGTCACCTCTCCAGGAAAAAATATTGTAAATTAGCATCGGCGAGATACAGGCGAGTACCTAATGAATATCTGCCAACCCGGGATAGCACAAAGAAGTGTGACCACAATCACTGACAACTGAGTGCCAGAGCGTGCAGTTTGTCCTCTGAGCAATGACGCAAACTAAATCAAAATGAACTATTATGCTCGAAACATCACAATATTGCACATCAGAGCAGAGAACCAAAGAGATAGAGCTCGAACCCTGAACCAACAACAGAACAAAGATCAAACTGATAGCTAATAATGTTGGATGTAGGAGAGCACTAAACCTTCTGATGATAGATGAATTTGAAGCATTGAAAGTAACTCCCAAGTGAAAGGGTAAACCAAATTCATAGATCTTGTCCCTGGTCAATTGAATGACTGAGATTCATATATCTCTAGTTAACCACAGTTAAACATCGACTTCAGCTGCAGTTACTTTAAAGAAGTTACATAGAAAGACAGAAGCAGAGGATTATTGAAGCGCCACTTTTGTTCACCTTCTGCTGCAACTTCGATCTGCAGAATAAGAATGGACAAAGAGCCATTTGTTTGGTGAATTGTTTTGACGATAAAGCAGGAGATGGGAATGGATTGCATCTCCTTAGATAATGATTGCCTAAAGAAGTTGAAGGAACTGAAAAGAAAGATTTACACGTCACAAAGAACATATTCCCATGTGTATGTACAAGATACCAGGAAAAAAGCTCGGTGAAGCATACAAAATCCAATCCCCAACTGTGCAGACATTCACCATGTTTCTTTTTGGCCGAAGACATTCCCCATGTTTTGTGTAGCATACATTCAACTATGTTCGAAGACCTCGAAATGATCTTCAGGCTCCTCAAAACTAATGCTAGATCTTCTCCTTTAGGGGAAAATTGTAATGCGAAATTTCACTGACATTTACTTTAACAAGCAGGTCACATCAAGAGACCATAGGCAGTAGAGAAAGAGCCACATAACCTATGTGCGACCCAGCGTATGATCAGTCCTAACCTCTGAAATTTCTTGTTTTGGCAATGGCTGCGTGTTTGCCTTTGGGTGTCTCCAACCTCTCGCATTGTCAGTCAGGATTTGCTTCTTGGTTTGAGATAGCGAATAGGGAGCTTGGCTAAGTGAAATGCAGTATCGGGAGGATAAGATGTATTCAAGTCCGAATCCATCATCGGGTCAAGTTCTAGAGTATTGGAGATCGGTTTCTTGACCCATTTCACCTGAGTATTTCCGCAGATGGTCTTGTCTGTTCTCATCAAGAGGCAAGCCCGATAGCATCTCGATCAAGAGAGCACAAAAGTCATTTACATTTTCCTTCGAGACTGCCATCCCTGTTACATCAACCATGTAATGTGTTTTCATCGAAACAAACAAGCTCGAGTTGAAAGACTTGCCAACATAAATGTACAAAGCAAACATTGATGATCAATGACAATGAAGAGCTTGAACAGGATATCGGGAAATTAGGCGGCTACATGTTCCATCAGAATCATCAAGAGCTAGGCTCTTCACCACGATTTCCACATCAAAAGGAAAGCCCAATATCTTAGCGCTCTTCAAACAGTGAACTCACCACATTTCAGCTAGTAAACCTAGCGGGATTGTAAATTATACCACTCTCAATTTGGGCCGACATCTTTATCCTACCACGTCCAGTCAACAGAATTAAAAGGACTTCCATGGTTGAAACGGATTTTGAAACATCTCCATTCTTTTACTTTGCTGATGATCTCGAGAGAAAAGGAAGGACAGTGACTAAAACCACAGAGAAATAAATAACTTCTAAGGGAAAGACTCGACCAAAATGCTGACTGAAATCACAAAATGAGGACCAAAAGAAGTAAAGATCTGGACATATTCGGCTTCTTTTCCCTCTGAAGACGCTCAATATGTATGCATGACAAGGAACCGATTACATTTCCACTTACAAAGATATTATTAAGGTGAAGAAATTGACAGAATAGAAAGCTTAAATATAAAGCTGTTTATGATACTTATATTGCAAGTTTTGCTTAAATTTATTCTCTTTAATTGTACAAGTTGCTAAAAACAATGTGAAGCCTCTTTCTTATTTCGGTATAAGCAAGTAATTCTTTGAATGACATATAAAAGGGACTAATCCAGCTACAAGCTCAGTCGACATCACTTCCAGTTTAAACCAACTCGTCTGAATCAACTTTTGTGTATCTGAAGCCAAGTTTTCAAACATCCTTCCCACCATAACAAGACAATCTGTAATGACCGAAGCTCAAAATCTCTGTCAATATCTGGACCTTATGTCTTCTTTTCACTTCAGAGCTTCCCCAAGAATGTCGACCAAACTTTTGAGGTAAGACATTAAGATCATTGCACAGTTCTCACATGGCAAAATCATGACAGATTCGTTCAAATGATTATAGACGATTGACAACATAGCAAAACGAATTTGTGCTCCATTTATGTCTTTCGATTCTTCCACTTAAGCAGGAAACTTGTATAATTAAGGATAGCAGAGGAAGACGAAGACGAAGCCGAAGCAGAAGGGAAAAAGGGGAAAACCACATCTCAGATCATCCAGTGTCAATTCGAGGATTTTTTCCTTTAACACAATATTTAGCTAAAATGCCATTCAATTTCATGTGATTACGAGATGCCACACATATGATATTAATGCTTTCCTTTATCCAAGATCCTAGCCCTGGGCCTGAACCTACTGCTATCTAAATACTCCTCATCACAGCGATTGCGAGATGGCTAGAACTTTTACCTTGTCGAGAAGAATATGAGAGGCACGAAAGTATGCAGAAGGCACGATATTTGCACTATGCAAGAAAGGCTTTCTACCTCTTTGCAATCTTCAGCCTCAGTAACCATGATAATGTTAGACAACTTGCTGCATTTCCTTTGTCTCCGAAAAATCAAAAGCCCTGAATTCTTGAGAAATAGCTCATCGATAGAGTGATAAAAGTTGAGGGTTCGGCAATATCTCCAAAGTCCAAAATTCTCAATGCGTCACTAGACGGAAGTACATAATGTTATTTCATGAAGACTCCTTGATGTGTGATGATTGCCACACTAAAACATAAGAAAACTGTGGCTTCTCTGTGTCGTGCTGTGACTTTAATGGCCGCTACACAGTGTTATTAAAATGACGCATGTACATTGATCAAATAAGACAGTTGAGTGCTGATTCTTACTATGAAATAGCTGGTCGTGTAAACTGTCGTATTCTAAATCAGTCTTTCCAGAGTTCAAAAACCAGGGGTATCTCTGCATCAGCCCAGCAGTATTCCTCAAATTGGCAATATTAGGATGAGATAGCTGATGGATCCTTTGAACTTATGCCACATTTTCTGCAGACGGCATTTAATGAGGAAACTTAAGAGAATGCACAGATCAACCTAAACAATCAATCGAAGATCAATAGCAGCTTAGCACTTCTCGGATTATAATCTTGTGCGGTCTATTCTAAAGAAAAATAAAACAAGAAAGTGTTTCGGCGACCAAGCTAGCTGCACTAGGCAATGTAGACGCAACCAGTACTTTCTTCACCAACAAAGATAAACTCGAATCTGACTGATTCTAGTTCAAGCCAATGAGCCCAGGAGAGCGTGGCCATTATAAATTGCCCCATAGAGAGTCGTAATAGAACTTCTTGATAGTGCTTTCTCTTTAATCTTTGCATGAAGATTAATTTTAGCACACAGAGTGACCAACCAAACTATTCTTCAGCAAATATCGAACTGGCATAGTTCTTCTTGCACAACTTACTCACCTAAGCCGCCTTGCAAGTGACTTTGGCAATTTTGGAAACTCCAACGACTTGACTGCAATTAATTTGCCAGATTCTCACAGCGGTCCTCGACTTTGGCCGCAAAGATTCCAGTTGCAGACTTCGGCTCTTTGTATTTGAAAAGTCTCTCTGTCCTAGTAGATATTACCGTCATTGGCAACAAATGTCACG